CGTTATTCAATAACACTCGACACCCATCCACTATTCTGGATTCTAATACTAAATGCATGGTATCACGGTACAATACTTTGGTTATATTAAAATCGACATTTTGGTATAACATAATGTTCTCTCCTTTTACCGGAGGTGATTGTAGAAATAATGTTATTTCATCCCTCATGCCGTAAATAATATTTAAACAATCTGCTGACATACTAATATATCGTGAAGGAGTAATAATGCATACTGTAACATTGAAGTCATCCTTTGGATTCAGGCCCACTTGCAAAAATTTTCTGCCGCTGAACGCAATAGTGTAACTGCTAGAGTCAATCATCTCGGCTGGCGGTGTTGGTGCGATATAAATGTAGCGTTCTTTCTCTTCAATAGCTGATTTTTTCATAGAAATAATTTTAACAGATGAAGTAGCAGTGCCGATATTGGAAATTATCATACTGTAAGTTTTTGAAAAACAGGCTTTACGAGATCCATCATCGCACAGAACTTTTTTATACCACTGATGCCTATGCCAATGACGCGCATAGCAAAAATAATACGGCAATTGATCTCATAAGCACGATCATGTATTAGAGGACAGTTAAAAATATCTGCATCACCGCAGTTCGAACAAGACACAACAATCTTGAAGCCTAGTCCACGCTTGCTCGACTGTGAAAATCGCACATCACTATTACATTTTCTACACACTAATAATTCAGAAAGAGCAGTAAATACAGCGAAAAAATGTATGAAATAGTAGCCGAAATCCCTATCAACATCGCAATCACGGTTTAAATCAGAAGTTTTTAATTTTTTCGCCGAGGTACTAACGTACTCTGAATAGGCTTCGAACGCATGGCGGTTAGGCGGGTGTTTGTTAATAATTTTACTCCGGGTTGTTCTGGTACTTCTTGTTTTACTGCCTTTGTGGCCATTGTACATCTTGTCACTCATAATTAAGTACTTATGAATATAATTCACAGTTAAAAAGTATAGCAAAACTCAAACTAAGAACGTACACAACGAGAACGACTGATCGACTAAACAAAGGGAAATTGTGATTAAACACATGCTGTACAGACGCTGTAACGATCGAAATTCTATACTTCAAATTCAAAACACGATATCGATCAAAGGTAACTTCTACTAATTTACAAAGCCGCGAAATTAAAAAAAA